GCCCGCAGCGCCGCCGGGGGCCGCGCGGAACGGGGACCGGGGGCAGGACCGGGCGGAACGGGGGGACGAGCAGCCCGTGCCCAGGGCTCTGCTGCAGCGAGGCGGGTAGCAGGCAGCACTGGGCACACGGAGCTCAAAAATGAAAGCTCCTTCTTTTATTTATTTTTTTTTTATTATTACTGATGCCTTAAAGTTTCATCTTCCTCCCTCAAAATCAATGGGAAATAATTCCCGTGGTCCCAGGTGGTGTGGGTCGAGCCTTGGGGTGTGCATGTGTGGGGAGAGTGGGAAATCCTTCCATGACACTGTCAGCACATCTGATATTGTTCCTTCTTTGTGTTTTAGATAAGGGAAGAGGAGGCCATTTATCAGGAAGAAGACATGCTGCCTTTATAAATGCTGTTATCGATGAGGATGCTGTTCTGACTCACCAGTACTAACTGGGTCACTTGGAACTGACAAAAATGCCAGCTTTCCCCTGGACCCCAGCACCCGGGGGAGATCAGAACTGGTGTTGGCTCATTTCAGCAGTCTCACTGCCTTGAACAGCACACTGATACAGTGGTCTGGAACAAAACTAAGCTGCTGTCAGTGACTTTCTCATTTCCCCTAGTTTGCTTTGTGTTTTGTTTTGTTTTGGGGTGTTTGTTGTGGGGTTTTTTTGTTTGTTGTTTTTCAAAATATGATTCTTGTAAGACTTTTGTGCCCCAAAATATTTCTGCATTATTACTTCTGACCTCTGATTTCATGTTATAACACAGAGAAATATAACATCCATGACAGTGGGATAAAACCCAAAGATAATAACCAGCTGAGCCAAACTGGTCTTGAGGTTTGAAAAAAAAATATTAGCCCCCAGCCAACCATATTATTGCCATTTTAATATTCAGCATAATGTTTGTATTCAATATTGCAGCACCCCCTCTTAAGCTTTTCTCCCCAGGGCAGCACACTTGTTCCTGAAGTGCAGGCTGTTCTGCAACCCAATTAGATATTCTTTTCAGGAAATTTCTTCTGGCTGCTCCACCCTTTACAAGTTACTTTTTACATTAAAGTACCTCAGCATTCTGTGATAGCATGTATATTGTGTTGTGTACACTACATTGCAGTATCATGCAATGCTATTATTATATTATATTATTCTAGATGTAGTACCTATGGCTTTACCAGGAGAAAACTATTGAAACACAATAGCTATAGAAACATTAGCATTCTGAGATGCATTATGTTCTAAAATAGAGCAAAGTTAAATATTTATTTCCCAGCTATTGATACTTTGTGAGACCATTGTAATACAGTGTCCATGTCTGCTGGGCATGTTTTGGAAATACACACAGTGCTCCTTCCCCTTACCTATGTGAGAAAGTGCTCTCATCATGCAGCCCTGATGACTCCACTTGCACTCAGCTCCCTACTCTCTCCTCTATTTGTAGGATCCCAAACATCCAATTAAAACATTAAATCTAAAGAGCTAAAACATCATCCCAGATAAATGCACTATTTTCTCCACATTTACTCAGACATGAAATTCTGCCTCCTGAAATTATACTAACTCAGAACTGGTTCAACACGTGAAAATGTTATTTTAAAAGCCTGCCAAAACTTCTAAGGTACTATTTTTTTCCTCCTTCAGAAGCTTCTACTACTGAATCATTGTATTCATAGTCATAGAATTAATAAAACTTACACTTCACGCATAGTGAGATTATTTTTTCATATAGTGACAAGAAAACTGTTCATTCTCTAGGGGAATGTTTTTCCCTCAAGTAATTTCCTATAAAGCATAATGGCAAACACTATACATAATACATGTTGGTGTGGCAAAAAATCAAAGGATTTTTTGTTTGAACTTTATTTGAGATAATGCTCATAGCTCACGTGTGGTTTGAAGTAATGCAACCACCCAAAATGCAGGCAGAGAACAAATTTGCCACCAGGACAGCACCTATCTTTATTTAAACTCTCAATAGCACATGGTATCAAATTATAATTGTTCTGAGATAAAACAATATTTTTGTATATGATTTTGTAAACCGGACCTTTCAACCAGAGTAGCTGTTTACTCAAGGAGCTATCCCTGCCTTATTTGTTGCTTCCTAACTTTGTAAGCTAGCAAAAAGTTTTCGCATTTTTATCAACATGCATCTAGATTTCTATTCTTAATAGTTAACATAAAAAAATCTAAATATTTGCAATAGAGGAGAAAGCACAGAAAGAAACATGCACTTTGACATGTTATGAGTTGTTGTCAGTTTAAAATCATCCAGAAATCTTCCCTGAAAAATTTTTAAAGCAAAAGAAGCAAAGTAGGAAGAGATGTAAGCCAGGAAATACCTACTAGTTAGAAGAGAAAATTTAAAAACAGATTTTGCAGAAAAATAGTATGTGAAATTGGGGCACTGGTATTTAAATGTTAGTAACACAACAGGTAACAAACTCTAAAAAGCTGTCAGGCTTTTCTCTGTATCTAAGGCCTACTGATGCATGCACTACCCTCTTCCTCAAATATCTTTAGGTCCACTGAACTGCTAAAATATCTGTATCCCTGTCTTCATGGAGCTTCATTCAGCTGAAGGCAGAAAGAAATAACAAGCATCCTGGAAGAAATTTTCAAAGGCTTTCAGGTCATATTAAAACTTATTGAAACCTCATTGCAGCCAGGAAAGAGGGGCATCTTTTTAAACACTGTAAGTATTCCAGATACCACAGGCTATGGATATTGCATTTAACTATATTCTATTAAACCAGGAGCAAGAAAGAGTTCAACTAACGCACCATTTTCTCAGTGTTGAAATATGTACTTTATAGGACACAGAGCGTTTTATGTGATTTCTAGGACATAAATGTCAACCTAGCCTTTTCATTATGCTGATCGAATTTATTTAATGAGCTGTCCTACAGTGGAGGCCAGCCCTACATTTTTCACTTGCTTCTGAAGGGAATTTAAGCAGTTAGCAAATAAGCCCGGGTCTAATCTGCTTCCGTCTGCAATCACTTGAAAAATGATGCTTGGCAAACAGCTCTGCATGGCCTTGGCAGCAGACGGAGCCCGATTTCTCACACCAAGGGATAGAGAAAACTGAGGAGGCTGAAAAGTTCATCTACATAACTCAAAGCGATGAACCATCTCGTTTTATTCTGTGGCACGTTTGTAAACCCTGCGACTATCGCAGGACCGGCTCTGGGAAAGCCGCTTTTCCTGCATTGCTACCCAAGGGATTGAGAAGAGACTGTCAAAGACAGAGGAACTGAAAGCTTAATGCGCCTCCTCCTCTCCGAGTCTATCCCCTGGTTGAATAACCAGGTGTCAAACAGCCTTTAGGACTGATGATAACTCGTTAAAAGCTGTACCTCGAGGGTTAATTCCTCACTCACATCCTATAACCCTGAAGGAGGAAAGAAGTCTGTCTAATACCTGATAGCAACTGCCTGAAAGGGTTCAGCTCTCTGCCAGGAAGCCCAAAATACGACTGAAAATTATCTGGCACACAAGGAACAGCAATGACAAGAATACCCGACTTCCTCACAAAGCAGCGACCAGAGATGATAAAATAAGATTTTCAGTGCAGCGTGGTCAGAATCAGGGCAGCCTTGCTGGAGCTAATGCACCAGCGGGGCCCCAGCGCCGCAGTGAACCTCGGCCTGAGAAACACCGATCCCAAGTTCGGGGGAGCCGGGAAAACCCCTCCCTCCGGCGGATCGTCACTCCTCACATTTTCATCCCCCAAACAGCTTTTTGCTTGAGACCCTGGTGAGCCTGCCCGTGCTCTGTATCTCCTGCCCCCCCCTCCCCTGGTCCCTAAACACGCACCCACTTCATTTCCCGATTTAAACAGAGTCTAAATACCGGCCTCCGCCTCGCCGGGGGATAAGCCCTGGGTGAGCAGCGGGGAAGCGCGGGAGCTCGCTGAGCATTACGCTGCCAATACCAACGTGACCCCCCCGAGGGCTTTCCCCCCGAACCGCCCGGGCTGCGAGGTGCAGCCGTAGCTGCCGTGATGGGCACCCCCCCGCGGAGCAGCAGCGGTGCAGCCGGGGCCGGGGGCCGCCCCGGGAGCGGCGGGAGGGCGGGGACAGCCGGGGGGCGCTTACCAGGTACCAGACGCCGAGGATGATGGTGCCGGTGCGGACATGGCAGCAGAGGCAGCAGCTGTTGGAGTAGAAGCGCGCCCAGGGCGACTTCAGCATCTCCGCGGCTCCTGCGGGCTCCTCGCTGCTC